CGAGTCTTAATGGTCCATGTTTGATCAATGTCAGGTGTGATTTATTCCCTAAAGATTTTTATTGGCTGCAAAGTCCATCAGTGGAACTGCAACAGGAGCACTTTCTGAAACTGAGCTAAAATAAAAAAAAAGGTAATGAAGTGTGGCAGACGTTAATGCAATGTTGTATCTTAGTGAGTGTAATAAACAGATGATTCATAAATGTTTAGTAAACATATTATCATATTTCCGGACGCTTTATTTATGATGTCAGCCTCCAGCAGAACTTAGAGGCAGCACTATTTAATACTGAGTCAACTGGGGCAAATGTGTCCTCATCATGCTCTGTGTGATGTCTTTGTTTTTGCTCGCCCTTAAAAGCGGATCTGTGTGGACAAACCAGTGTACATCAAATAATGAGGAACACTTAATATATTCCATATGTTCTGCCTTAAGTGAATCAGGTCGTTCTTTATGGAGTCTGAGCTTCTTTGTATCTTGTCACTGTGTTGGCTTTGGCAGAAAAGCTTTATTGTCTGCTTTTCGCCTTGATATATTGGTGTAGATGTAGAACAGCTTTCTGAAGTTTGTTCAGTGAGTACAATGCTTAACTTCACAGTGCTTATATGTGTGTGTGTGTGTGTGTGTGTGTGTGTGTGTGTGTGTGTGTGTGTGTGTGTATATACTTGTCTTTCTATACTTGTGAAGACCAGCTGTCCCCACAAGGATAGCAAAGGAGAGGAATTCCAGCAAGTTAGAATATTTCGCAAATTCTCAGTGCCTTTGAAAGAAAAATTGTCATTTTTTCATAAACAAAAAGTGGCAAAACGTGGTTTTTGGGAGTTTGTAAGTCCTACAAGTATGTCTTTGTGGGGGCCAAATGTGCCCAGACTGATAGGAAAACACTTTGGGGATATTCCTCTGGTCCTTATGAGGAACAATGAGTCAAAAAATGAAAAAATAGCAAAAAACCTGAGTTTCCTGAGGTTCCACTAGGGTGTGTTAGCAGTAGCACAACAGCATTTACTTAAAGTCATACTTAAGTCAATGGGAGGACCCCACAATGTATAGATTTGGTAATATTCCATTGCTGATATCCATGGCTGACACAAATGAGTAACCTAACGGCCCAAGTGTGGTCTCTGACGTCTGACTTGGACTGACTATATATACTATATATAAATAGCTGTATAATCTCCATAGAAAAGCATTGCCAATAGACTGGGATGCTCTTGAGCAGCTGTACATGAGTCTAAGGACACCATGCCCACTGCAAAGCATTAGCTAGGGGGGTATAAAGCCCCCCCCAGCATTGGGCTGTGGAGCACTGGAACTGTGTTCTCTGGAGTGATAGATCTCTATCCAATGCCTGATGAGTTGGAGTGATCCAGAACTGACCATCCAACATCAGTACCTGACTTCACTAATGCTCTTGTGGCTGAACGCAATCAAATCCTTGCAGCCATATTCCAACATCTAGTTAAGGGGGTCAAACTCCCTATCAATGTCCTAGTTTTTAAGAAATGTTAAAGATTGGTGTCTACTGGACATCTAGGACTGGTTTTGCGGATAAGGATTAAGCCTAGTCTTGGACTAAACTGAAATGCTTATTGCAATTACCACTCCAAATTCTGTTTAGTCTCAACTCGGGATCAATCTGGATCTGGAAAACGACCCCATAGTGCATATATGGATCAGACATCTGCTTCAGGAAGTCTTCATGTATATTTGACGTAAATGTAAATATTTCAAATGGACATTATTATTTATCACTGCTGTTGGAAGAAAACCTCATCTCTCTATTTTTGTCATTTTTCAGTGTTTGACATAATTTGAAAATGCCTGTTGGCCTTTATATTGTGTGCGAACTTCATGAAGAATGGACCAAAAAAAAAAAACAGCCCAAAATAACTTGTAAAAAAATTCTGGTTCCATTGACTTACATTAAAAGTAAAGCATGTTTTTTCCTTCTCCTGTAAAATTACCATTTTGGAGATACGAGGTTTTATTCCATCAACAGCGATATATTTCTTGTATCATCGCTGCCAGGATAAAACTTTGTATCTCCATTTTGGTAGATTTAAAAAAAAAATTACATCATTTTTGAAAATGCCCAGTGCTGTTTACACTATGTCACGTTAAACAGACCAACAGAAATGGTCCAAAATTACACAGAATAAAGTCTTGCTACATGAACTCATTCAATTTATTAATTTACCATATGCCAATATATGCACATATGTCAAGCTATGTGATATATGTGAATTTATTTATTATATATTTAACTATTCAGAAATGGCACAGTTAAATATATTTAGCACCTACATTTTAAAGCATCGCATTTTGTTGTTCGTATATATGTCGCTGCTGTCAGAAGAAAACCTCCTATCTCTATTTTTGTCATTTTTCAGTTTTTGACGTAATCTGAAAAAGCCTGTTGCTCTTTACATTGTATGTACATTTCATTAAGAATGGACCAAAAGAAACGGCCCAAAATGACTTGGAAAGACATCTGGTTCCATTGACTTACATTAAAAGTAAAGTAGGTTTTTTCCTTCTCCTGTAAAGTTAGCATTTTGGAGATACAAGGTTTTCTTCCAACAACAGTGATATGCATGCATGTACATGTATTTTTCCTCTTATGGGCATGAAGACTGCAGATCACAGGTCTCTGGAAAAAGCTGAACAGATAGCAAAGCAGCAGCAGTGGCGAGTATGACTGAAATAGATGACGGTTCCTATAGGGGTGAAATGGAACTGATAAACTATATTACTGCGCTGCACTCTTGCCATATATATTTGGTTTCTCCTGATTAAATTGGCTTGTCCATGGAATCCCTGCCGCTGTAGGTGGCAGAATGTCCAGATTTTGCTTTTCTCTGGTCCATCACAGATGTGATGTGCCTTACGCAAGTGATAAAGTACAATACCGCTCCAAAAGTTTCACTGAACCGTGAAAGCAGGCTAATGAAGAGGCAGAACACTCCAAATCCCATTACACCGTACAGTGCACGTATTCCAGTACATCATCTGAGTCACTCTGGCTTTTCTACTATTCTACTTTTTTGCTTGGAGTAAAGACTCAGCAAACAGCTCACATGTGCCAGAAAATCCATACGATTTATATTTAGATGATCTGTGGGCTCTTTTTGGTCCTGTTCCATTTTCGTTTACGTGCACATTTCCTATTCCGAGGGCACTTGCAGTTTTATGCTTAAAGATAACCGACATAAATTTCAGCTGAAGGAGACACTTGATGATGTCTGACTTGATGCCACCCGATTATTAATCGCACCTACAGTTTAAAGTATATATACCTGTTGGTTTAATAACGTTCTGTGTTGGATGAACTGATGTGTCATGATTTGAGTTCGGCCACTTCAGCAGAGCCTCATGTGTTATGCAGATGACTGGCTGCTGAAAGCTCATCCAACAACTCCAGGGATGCTCAAACCATCTGATTAGAACCAGACCGAACTGACACTGTAAGCCTTTTGTGCTTCGTGATTTGTGCTTTTGAAATGCCACTTGTTTTTCATTAGCCTTGTTGCTTGGATTCTCTTGGATGAGCTTTTGCTTCCATAACTGGTTTGAACTACAGGAGGCTTCACAGTCTGAGGATAAATCTTATCATGATGAAAGAAAGAAACTTGTATTTTTAGGGGAATTTATGGCAAGTAAAGAAAAGAAGAAAGGAGTCAGTCTCATGATGACCTCTTTGTCATGTGTGCATTTTTTCTCATTTTTAAGATATATATGTTGTTGCTGTCATATTAAATACCCATAACTCTTTTTTCATTTTATGCTTTTAGAAACCATTTTAAAATAGCAGATGCCTTCTACATTTTATGTCGCCAGTAGACAAGTGAACCAGATTTATATTTGGAATCAAATCTCATTACATAAACATTTCTTTCGTTTTTTAATTTGTTAGTATGTTTTTACCAAATCCAACATGGGCTCATTCCACCAACTAGCTAGGCCTCCAGCCATCACACTCTTCCTATGAGTCACATGAAGCACCACTGAGATGAGAGCGAGGCCAGTTATGATTTCTTTTACTTCCTGTGACGGACGGCTGTGGCATCGTCGGAGATCGAGCTTGTGATAGGGCCGCAGTTTTGACCAGGGGACGTAAAGGGGCCGTCAAATTCTGTAGCAAAGCCAGATAACATAGAATGTCCATTCTCCATGAAACATTGTCACGTCTCCATGATGCTCACTGTCACATGCATTGCAGTATCACAACCTCACATTGTATCGTGACACACTGCTGTGTTGATCCACTCGTATCAGCGCAACACACACTAACACACCACCACCACGTCAGTGTTACTGCAGTGCTGAGAATGATCCACCACCCAAATAGTACCTGCTCTGTGAGGGTCCATGGGGGTCCTGACCACTGAAGAACAGGGTAAAAGGGGGCTAACAAAGTATGCAGAGAAACAGATGGACTACAGTCTGTAACTGTAGAACTACAAAGTGCACCTATATAGTAAGTGGAGCTGATAAAATGGACAATGAGCGTAGAAACAAGGAGGTGGTCATAATGTTATGCCTGATCGGTGTATATTCTGGGCTGAAATCTGGGTTCAAGGTCTTGATTTAAAGACCTCTGCGCTATATTATCTAACTACTATGAAGCAAGGAGTTAAAGCTCTCTTCAAGAGCTCATGAGAGTCTTGCATAAGCCCCTGTATTTAACAATAACATCTACTTGATTTTGCAAGTTATTCGCACCCCTTACTGTCCTTTCTTTCCATATGGCTCTATTCCCAGGGTGAGACTTAGCTGAGCTTTGCTGAAACATAATGAGCTTTGATTGAAATTTGAAATGGCCATATAAAACACCAATTGTCATACACGTCAAGCAAGAGGGCAAAAGGGCTGGCTCCTATCTATCTGACTCATTTAAGTTCCTACACCTGTTCCATTGATTTGTGGCCTGTTTTCAGTCATTTTTAGTTTCTTTTTTTAATGAAATTCTCATTCTTTTATCCTTGCGTGTGATTGGTTAGTTTGTGGCGCAGCCAAACTGTCAGCAGCTCCTGGCGTCCCGCTGGTACGATGAGTTCCCGGGCTGGAGGCGGCGACACTGGGCCTGCAAGTTCATGACGTGCATTTTCATCGGCCTCCTGTTCCCCCTCTTCTCCATCTTCTACCTGATTGCTCCCAAGAGCCACTACGGCCTCTTCATCCGCAAGCCCTTCATCAAGTTCATCTGCCACACAGCCTCCTACCTTACCTTCCTCTTCCTGCTGCTGCTGGCCTCCCAGCATATCGTCCCCCAAGCACCAATGCGACAGGGACCCCCACCAACCATCGTGGAGTGGATGATCCTCCCCTGGGTGCTAGGTAGGGTGTCATGATACCAGAGCAATACATTGACAATAACAATAATTCTTTGGTTGTTATGGCAAAAAATAAAAAAAAAAGAACACAGATTTGTTGGACTGAGTCTCTTTTCAGCAATACAAACTCTTAATGTTACATTAATCAAACAGGTGACTAAATAATTTAAACATGACTTCAATCAACAATTAAAGATTAACAGAGACACTGGCATCCAGTGCAGCCACTGGCATCCAGTGCAGCCAAACATTCAATATGTTGTGTGTTATCGTGAAATAACATCAAGGCTGTGATTTGGTCACCGTAGATCATCACAGCCATGATGTTATTGGCGATAACACACTCCTCGAGTGTTCTATTGCTTTAATACAACAGTTAAATAAATAAAGTACGAAATAAATAAAATGGGCCTTGAATGCGGAATTTAATATGTTTTAATGTTAGCAGTTACCAGTTTCAGTCAGCAGCTGTGACAGAAGAACATCTAAACAACCTGGAATCAGCCAGAAATGAACCCAATACCATTCGCCAAACGTGTAGTCTGATCAAATCAGACTGAGCCATAAAACCGACGCAATATCAAGTTTAGCTCAGTGTTGTCTTTTTTGCTAGATCGTCTCAGCGGAGTGATACAGTGTTTGTGAATAAACCATGATGTTATGGTGAGATAACAACACGGTTAAAACGCTTCTCAACCAATCAGCTTGCGTGGCCGGAACTAACTGTTGTATAAAATTAGTGAAACCTTTTGTTGCTTGTTTGTAAGCATAACATATCATCGCTATCTGGAAAAAAACATTAATCTCTATTTTTGATGGTTTTTATTTTTCTACATTTGTCCATTGCAACCCTGTTTCCAAAAAAGTAGAGACACTGTGCAGAATGCACACACACACACACACACACACACACACACACACACACACACACACACACACACACACACACACACACACACACACAACCTATTATTTTATGCAACTTTTCCTTTGGGCGGAAGGCAGGAAACACCCTGCACAGCTCACCAGTCCATCACAGGGCAGAGAGAATGGATGTGTAAATTACATAAACCCAAAAACTACATTCAATTAAAAATAGTACAAAGACAACATATCAAATGCTGAAACTGAGAAATTGTTTTGTTTTTTTTTGTTTTTTTTAAATATTTGCCCATTTTTAATTTAATGCCAGCAACACATTCCAAAAAAGCTGGAACGGGGGCAACAGGAGGCTGGTAAAGTTGTGTAATGCTAAAAAACACCTGGTGGTTAATTTGCAACAGGACAATACCATGTTTAATATACAAAGAGCATCTCAGAGAGGCTGAGATTTCAGAAGTAAAGATGACCAACAGCATGGCTCTGTAGTAAAAGAGTCTGGGTGCTAAACTGACCTGCCTGCAGTCCAAACCTGTCACCCACTGAGAACAGAACTGTTAGGCAGCTGAAATCCTACATCAAACAAGAACGAGAAAACATTTCACTTTTAAAACTACAGCAGTGTCTCCTCAGTTCCCAAACGCTTACAGAGTGTTTTTAAAAGAAGAGTTGGTGAAACACAGCGGTAAACAGGCCCCCGTCCCAACTTTTTTGGAACGTTTTGCTGGCATCAAATTCAAAATGGACATATATGTTTCAACATTTGATATGCTGCCTTTGTGCTATTTTCAATTAAACATAGGTTTGCATGATTTGCATATCATTGCATCCTATTTTTATTTACATTTTGCACAGCATCTCAACTTTTTTGAAACTGGGTTTGTATATTGTGTGAGAATTTTAGGATAATCAGACCAACAGAAAAGCTCCAAAATCACTTGGAATAAAACCTCTTTACATCAACTTACATTAGAAGCTATGACGTTCTTGCTTTCCCCAGTAAAGTTATTATTTTGAACATGTTTGTTTTTGGACAGCAACGATATGTTATTGAACAAAACTCTTCACCTGTATATTTTAGGTATGCTAGTAAGCACATGCATAATTCTGATTCACTCTAGGCAGAATACAACTCTTACACTATTACAGTGCGCTATTAACTTGTTTACCACATAGCATTGAAAAAGCACTGCACTTTCAATACATCTAGTTCTAGGTAACTTAAGCCAGGAGCTCATGGGGAATAGACCCAGCAGCTTGATGGGAGGTGTGGCAGGCATTGGGGGCAATACCATCTCAATTGGAATATGGTATCCCCTTAACTTCGTGCCACTGTTTTCCTGCTAGGTGCCAACTCTTTAAATTGCATTCAGAGGAAAAATGTGGATTTCCGAGCTGAGCAAGCCATTAAGTCTTTCAGTAGATATTGCCTGATATGAGCCCACCAGATAAGGCTTCTTGGCTACCATGTTCAGCTTGGTTCATTTTCTGTTGACGTATTGAAAGCCTGTCGTCCTAACTTGATTTTTAACGGATTTGGCTGAGCCGATATTACTGAGCCTTTGTTTTTTTTTCTCTGTGAGTTTATCACTGTGCGATCTGTGCCAGAGCTCACTCCTGTGGATAAAGTGGGCGAAGTGTATAGAGCACATTTTGCAGTTTTATTTGTGTTTCATGACCGGAAATAGCACAGTGTTGTCTCTGTGTTCAGTAAGGATTGTTGGTATGCCGTTTGGTTAATATTTTAACTTTATAAGGCCTTTTTGGTTAATGGGCTATGATATAGCTTGGCTACTTAACTCCCTACTGTGTCGCAGTAATGGGTAATGCTTAATGGTAATGGAAATGAAGAAAGACAGCCATCTTGTCTAATGATTAGTTATAAAAAGAGCTAGGCCTGTTTCGCCAGCAGTGCATTAGGCGAAGTTGTCCTCTTGGTAATTTGTTTTACCCCTTGCCTAATTAATCCTGCTGTTGGGCCTGGAGGGAAAAAAAACAAAAAAAAACAATGCAGACTTTCTGGAGCCGAGCGGTTTGAAGAGCAAAACTGCGTGAGTGGGAAGAAACACAGATGAAGTGTTAGAAACATGAGTTTGGGTGTAACGTCTTGGTGAATGGCTGTAGCATTTAAATATGTTTTTATGTCATTCTTTGCAGGCTTCATCTGGGCAGAGATCAAACAGATGTGGGATGGGGGCCTTCAGGACTACATCCACGACTGGTGGAACCTCATGGATTTTGTCATGAATTCTCTGTATCTAGCCACTATCTCCCTGAAGGTTGTGGCTTACACAAAGGTATGCTATAGACCGGAGGTCACTAATAGGCGGTCCGCGGTGCGAGTCCGGACCCAGATGCAGTCCTATGCGGACCTGGACCTATAACCGATAAACTATGGAGAATTATTTGATTTCGACAGGGTGGTCCTATTTTAATCGGCGTAACATTTCTAGTCATTATGGTACCACCTTAGCGGCCCGGGAAACTCACAGACCAATCGCATGCGTTGTAAATATCACACATGACACTACTCAGCCAATCAGTTCTGTGCATTATGATGAGCACTGAGACTCGGGTGAGTGATGCACACACAGGGGAGGGACAAGGCGAGAAACAGCAGTCAGAGAAGAAAGTGAGTCAGAGGGAAGTTATTTCACATGGCGTGCTCTAAAAAGAGAAAACTGACAATAAATGTTGTTGAAATATGACTGAATTGTACTTTGTTTGATTTGACATTCAGTTGTTGACTGTATAAGATGTTGATATACCTACTAGGCTACTTCAGTAAACAGTCTATGGCACTGAATCATGATGCAAGTTAGACATTATGATGTTCTGGACCTTCGCTTGAGGATGTTTTCTCTAACTGGACCTTATTGAATTTTAATTAAAGACCCCTGCTATAGACCATCGTGCTACACAACTGCCTCTCGAAGGCTTCTTCTGCCCTTTGTTCTTAAAAGTAAAAGTTCGGAAAAATGTCATTTTTAAGATGATTAGTCTAATTCTTTCAACTGCAACATTAGTAACTTTTTACAAACCCTCTTGAAGATGATAACCTCTTGGGACTTGTCTTCCCAGTACAATGGCTGCAGACCTCGAGGTGAGTGGGACATGTGGCACCCTACCCTGGTTGCAGAGGCATTGTTTGCCATCGCCAACATCTTCAGTTCTCTGCGCCTGATCTCCCTCTTCACAGCCAACTCCCACCTGGGCCCCCTGCAGATCTCCCTAGGGTCGAATGCTTCTGGACATCCTCAAGTTCCTCTTCATCTACTGCCTGGTGCTGCTGGCCTTTGCCAATGGTCTCAATCAGCTCTATTTCTATTATGAGACTGATGGTTCCAATACGACAGGCCTCTGCAAGGGGATTCGCTGTTCACATCAGAACAATGCCTTCACCACGTGAGTGCAACACATCTTTGTATAAACTGGACAGAATGGAGTTAACAAAAGCACACAAACACACTTTGACACTTAATTTTATTAAGTTTTCATAGACGCATCTCCAGCAGCACTGCTGTGTCTGATCCACTCAGACCAGCACAACACACACTAACACACCACCACCACATCAGTGTTACTGCAGCACTGAGAATGATCCACCACCCAAATAGTACCTGCTCTGTGAGGGTCCATGGGGGTCCTGACCACTGAAGAACAGGGTAAAAGGGGGCTAACAAAGTATGCAGAGAAACAGATGGACTACAGTCTGTAACTGTAGAACTACAAAGTGCACCTATATAGTAAGTGGAGCTGATAAAATGGACAATGAGCATAGAAACAAGGAGGTGCTCATAATGTTATGCCTGATCAGTGTATAAAAGAGAGCATTACTTCATTAACAGCTACTAGCGCTGCTCTGTAAAGGTAAAGTTCAGCTCCTCACTGGGCTTTAGTTACATTTAGGGAGTCATAAGCCTTCAAAGAGGAGGGATGTCAGAGCTATTTATTATCGCCCAACCCTAATTTCTTCAGTGATATGAAGCTGAAGTCAGTTATTCACCAGCTTCACGTTTGAATTTTCCTGTTCCACCTTAAAAGGCGCAGCAGTTACATCCTGGCGCCCCAAGCGTCAGGTAGAATGGGAAATTTAGCTAGCTAGCTACTGAGACATCAGCATACTACTAGCGACTTTCTATGCTTGTTATGATGAATGGGACCCCAATACATTAAAATGACAGTGGATTGAGGCTCACTGCTTTGCCAAAAATGTATCAGCCAACAGTTTAAAAGCAATGGCTGTGTTTACATGCAAAGATTTTTGCCAATCCGATTGAATGCATTCCAATTATAATAAGTAGGAGTAAGACTGAGGTGTTTATATGCTCATTCTAATCAACAATCTCCTGGAAAATCTCTGTTTACATGCTCACTACAAATAATCTGATCCAAAATTATGCACATGCATAAAGTTACTATGACAGCGATACCACCTAAGTGGAGTCAGAGTGAGACGAGCAGCAGTGAGCAGTGCCTGTGTTTTTAATTACTTTAAAATGATGTCAGACACATAAGCCGGACGTCCGTCCCACCGCCGTCTTTTAAAGATCAGAGCATGAACTTCGTCTCCTCCACAGACCAGTTTCTGCTCCGCCATGTTGAACGGTATAAACTCACTATAACGTGACAAACATGATCAGAACGGACTTAAACTTTCCGATGGGGAATGTAATCAGATACAGGCGTTTACACGGATATTATTCGTCTACTTAACGGATTATTTACAGGATTACCCACCTCATTCAATCAGATAGAAATTGTATTACGACTGGCCTCAATCAGACTAGTCTATTCCGATTAAGGTGTTTACACGGACATATTCTATTCCGTTTGAGCTATTAGATGGATTATTAAATGATTATTAGGCTGCATGTAAACATGGCTAGTGTTCCTCAACATGCAATTGCCAGGATTTTAGGTATTTCATCCTCGATGACGCATAATGTCATCAAAAATATGAAAAGATCAAGACCAAAAACCTGTCTGTGACCTTCAGCCAGCACTGCAGTAAAAACTGCCATGCTTCTGTGATGAATGTCACCAAATGGGACTTTTATTGACTAATCACTGTCAATAAACACTGTTTGTCACTGCTTCCACAAATGCAAGTTATTATGCATAGTGGAAGCTCATCTGTGCTCATGGCATGGGTAACTTGCACATCTGTAAAGACACCATTGACACTGAAAGATATATACACATTTTGGATCAACATGTACTGCCTTCTAGATGACGTCTTTTTCAGGGACATCTTATTTCAACACGCCACGTTCTGCGGGGAGTTTAAGAGCATGGCTGCATAATCCAAGAGTGTGGGTGCAAGACTAGCCCTCCTGCAGTCCTGACCCTTCTCCCACTGAGAACGTGCGTCGCATTATAAAAGGATGGTCACACAGCTCAGGACTTGTATAACAGTAATTTAATTTCGATTACCCTACTTCATCATGTAAAACTAATCCTGTCCGAATAAGACTTAAGAAGCGGCCAGCGGGGCTCTGTAATTATATTTATGTGCAGGAGTGCCCAGTATCCTATATATTTTAGTGCTGTCCTGCTCTGACACACTCATTTAAACTTAAGAAGGGCTTGTTAATGAGCAGTCCTATCACTGCTATTGAATTTATTCCTCTATGCTGGCAGGCTAAAGGCCCAAATACCCATCTAGATGTATAAATATTATCTGATCAGGGAGAAGAGTAAGATTCCCTGTGGGAAACATTATAACACCGGTTCAGTCACAGTGTAAGCAATGGACTCCATGCACATATGATTTTGCAGTGGCTACAATAATTTACTTCAGCCAAGAACAGAATTCATACCGTTTAAATGATAGTGGACTGAGAGAACCTACGAAATGAACAGACGGCAGCTGATAGCCAATGATATCCTCCATGTGTTCATAGAACTGTGCAGCATCTGGGCTAAAGACAGATCTGTTTTAAGCACTTCTAGCCCCGATGTTCAGTAACACCACTTCCAAAAGTGTCCAGACGGTCCTTAATTAGTGGAGTCTGCCGTTTGAACAGTGTGGCTAAAGGAGAACACTGAAACAGGGTGAAAAGAGGGGAACGTTCTACAACAATGTGAGTGAAGGAGAATGCTAGAATAGTGTAAATGAGAAAAGTACTGTAAAATAGTCTGAATGGTGGAGAACATTCTGGAGACCCACAGGGATGGCAAACCAGCTCAGTACTCGGGTTTGTTGGTATTTCTGGAGAGTGTTTATTTATCTTTCCATGCTTTGAAAAAAACAAGCACTGTATAGTTGTTTCTGTCCGTAACACAGAATTCTTTGTCCCGTTTTAGGTTATTTGAGACACTTCAGTCCTTGTTCTGGTCCATCTTTGGCCTCATCAGTCTGCATGTGACTAATGTTGACCCCGACCACCAGTTCACAGAGTTTGTGGGAGCCACCATGTTTGGAACCTATAACATCATTTCTCTAGTAGTGCTTCTCAATATGCTGATTGCCATGATGAACAACTCCTATCAACATATCGCAGTGAGTGTTACATGTCATTTTGACGTGGGGTCATATCTATAGGCCTTTATATTCATAGCATGAACGTGATTTATTCATGTTATTTATTTGGACGCGAATGAAGTAGCTCAAACGTGTGAAACTGATGTCCTGCACACCGAAAGCAATTTTTCAGGAAATGAAAATGTGATATTATTTAGTCACCTACTGTTCAGTACTGTTCGAAGTGAACTTTTACACGTGACATGAACGTGCGTTGGTAACAAAGATGATGAATCGGCTATTGATGACAAACATCAATAGGATTAGTTTGTCTGCTTTGTCATGGTCTACAAATCTGCGGTTTATTGGGCTACAGACTACAGCAGAGGTCTGCCCTACCTTGGATTCCCGTGGGATCCGGCACAATATCTTGCCGCACTGGACTAATTTTCAGTGTTGCCTGCGGGAGCGGGCAGGAAATCAGACCCCTTCAGGCGGGAGCGGACAGAAGCACGCATGAAGAGAAATCCCGCAAAATAAAGAATGGCCTAAATAAAAGTAGAACAATCACTAAATCATATATGTAAACAATATAACAGTAAAACAGTTAAAATAAAGTCATTCTCATAGGCCTGATTCACACGTACTGCTTCTGCGTGGCGTGAGCGAAAGTCTTGTTTTTTCATTTCAGCACCCACGTTAAGTGGTCAGTGCTTTCAAACTGGGTGCACGTGCGAAGCCGCAGAGTCCCAGACACCACACTGAAGTGCCGCCGTGTTTAGAGAATAGACCCGGGGCAGATTTTTTCCCGCACGCTGCTTGTGTCTCGCAGCTAAATACACAGAAATAAGCCATGAAAAATCAATGAAAACTAAACAAAAGACCATACAAAAACTTAAAAAGGCGATTTTATGTAATTTATTATGAAATACTAGTTAAAAATTCCGTGTTGCAGACAGTTTCCCGGTTGGTCCACCAGGCTTGAAACTTTTGCCTAATCAAAAGTCAGAATGCTGTCCAGGATAAAGAAATATCCGCTCTGCAGCACAAACGCTGTATGTATGGAAGGTCAGCGCATCACTGACACCACGCAGAGGCAGCATGTCTGAATCAGGCGTTAAAAAGATGGTAGAGCCTTCAGTCCAACTGCCACAGCTGCCCAGCAAAACACCAAAAATAGTGGTTTAATTCCTGCTCTGTGTTTACTGGAAATATATGGCGTTTGGTGAAGTTACTCCCAGTGAGCCTGATGACCATGACTTGTTATTACAGACTAATGCATTTGTGATTGCACTGTGTCAGATATTGGATGCGGGCGGGACTGCGCGGGCGGGAGCGGGACAAATGAATCTGATTTTCTACGGGAGTGGGTGGGACCGGGACTGTTTTTTGGCAGACCTCCACTACAGACATCCAAGCTATTAGTGAAAGCCCTCAAAGTTTCAGGTCCTGAATGAGCTGCTGAAACTATTTGTTCACCTTTCGCTTTTCCAAAGTTTTGAGAGCAGCAAACGATCTTTTTGCATTTGATCACCTTCTGCTTGTTTTTTTGTTTTTTTATGGTGCAAACAAGACAGCAAAATTTCCCCCAAAATTGCATCTGGTGTGTATATTTTTCATTAGAAAAAAAAGAATATTTTGCAGTTTCATGTTATTCAGGCCATGTTCAACATGTAAAGGCTTTATTTCCTAAATATGTTTCTCCGCTGTTATTTCACAGGATCATGCTGACATGGAGTGGAAGTTTGCCCGAACTAAGCTGTGGATGAGCTACTTTGAAGAAGGAGGTACTTTGCCTCCTCCATTCAATATAATCCCCAGTCCAAAGTCTGTGTGGTACCTAATCAGGTGGATCAAGAGGAACATCTTCAGGAAGACAGCCAAGAAAACAGAGACTTTTGGGTCTATTAGCGTAAGGCCTTTTCCACTCTTTTACAATGTTTGTGATATTAAAAGGTATCCTAAATGACCGTAGCTTAAGTTTGAGACACAGCAGCAGGTTTTTTACACTCCGTCCTCTTGGAATTAGGTTCTGTCTACGTTCTGAGCATTTCTGAGATATTGAGCTTCGTAGATTTTGCATTCTAAAGAGCAAAAACTGATATGTGGAACACGCCTCTATCATACATGAAAATCAAAGACACCCTAAATGTATTCTAAATGTGCAGTATCAAAGTCCTATTAAATTGATAAATAAGTGTTTTTGAAACAGGTCAAATGCAGATAGAACCGAATGTCTAAGTGTATCAGAAAGTTACATTTAATGCTTTCCATGACAATTTTATTACTTTTTAATTTTTTTATTACATTTATTTCTTGTTTTAGGACAAATCATCTTTTTCTTAATAAAAAAAATAAAAAACATTGCAGATTAAGGGTAAAGGCCAGTGCTAAATTTGTCCAGTGCAGAGGTCAGTTTTAGGTTGGAACCATTAGTTTAAGTTTGTATTAGTCAGACAGCAACCAGCAACTGTAATAACCTGTCCCAGCCAGTATGTGTAGCAGGTCAGTCTAAAAGGCCGTGTAAGGTTTTGTTTTCTACATTAAATCTTGACTTTAATCCAAAATGTCACAATTTGGGAGAAAGAAAAAAAGAAAAGATGGATGAATGAAATGAATGTCTATGTTGCAATGAAGACCCTATCAATTCAAATGTATATTATTTAATTACATTTAAGGCTTAATATTTATAAAATTTAAGACAGTAAGACTTTTTAAAGAACTGCAAGAAGACAGGCAGAGTTTCAGCAACATGTTTTAAAGTTTTATAAACTTTTCCCACAGTCACTGAGCAGAGCGGTGATGTGACAACTAAACAGAACCTGTTTCATCCTCTTGTGTGTATTTGAAGTGCTGACTGGTTCTCAGATAGAACCATATAGAAGTTAGAGTTTGACTTTGGAGAAAGAACCTTTTTGTTTTCTAAATAAGGAATATCCCTCACATAATGTTAAGAAGTTGTCACGGAATAAAAATGTGAATAACTAAATTTTAACCAAAAAATCAGATAAAACCTTTTAATTCCAAGAGGCCGGTTTGTAAACGTCATTGTGCTGTGCTTTGATCTACTTACTCCTTAAACCATGATTCTTTTGTACTGTCCATGCTGGAAGCTTCATTGTCTTAGAACAGAACAAACCACAGGCAGTGAATCTGTTGTTAAGTCAATAGTCGAGTGATTTCTATCCTCCCACAGAGAAGAGCTGCTGAGAATGTCCGCATCAATCACCAGTATCAGGTAATGATGTCTCATTCGACTCTATCATCCATTATTCCTGTCTGCCATTGGGCGGTATATCAAACCCTCCAAAGACTTATGGCTCACAACGTCCTCCCTTTTGATCGCTTACATCATAAATCACCTTGCGCCTTTCACATTTCTGCCTCTAATCTTACTGCCACAGACACTTTTAGTGCTCTGTTAGGCATCATATGCTAGTCTGGCTCGTCTCATATTGATGGTACTCTTGCAGGCAATCAGTCTCCTCTTTTCTTGGTTGGTGCTTTTGTAGGAAGTGCTGCGAAATCTGGTGAAGCGCTACGTGGCTGCGATGATCAGAGACGCCAAGACAGAAGAGGGTCTAACAGAGGAGAACTTCAAGGTGACTGGATCTTTTTTAATGGTGGCAAAGTGATGGATTACTATTATGTAGAGGTTCCTTTAAGGTTCTTCACACTCACATATTTCATAAAATGGTTCTTTAAAGAACGATCCTTTGAAAGACTCTTTGGGGAATCAAAATATAGATGTTTCTAATCTGTTCTGTGCTTGGTAAACATTAAAAAATGAATGATGAAGCAGCCATTATGGTTGTACTCAATTGCTCATCCCGTCCTAGCAGCATCGAGGACCGCGTCCCTTTGGTTCCCACAGGAGTGTGTACTCTGTTTAAAATTAGGGAGCATCAGAAGAGGAGAAAATGAATAACTTAGCGACTGAGATCACAACAACAAGCTTCCAAAGAAGATTAAATGGTGGCAAAAGCAGCCAGTTAAACTGCTGGGCCCATTAGCTGGTTAGCTAAGCCAACAGGTTACAGAAACATTAGCTTTGCGAAACTTGTTTGTTTGTCCTCATGGCTCAGGTAACTGACAAAATGAAAAACTAACAACCTTGCATGAAGTCAATCTGGAGGATCTCATTTTCAGCCGTCCCACTAACCAGCTTCTGTTTATTTTCTTGTTTATTAGTCCAGTGAAATCAATTGTTTGAAATGATGTTGTTCCACATGGTCACAATGCTTTATATATGTTTTGATCCAGTTGAAAAAGGTGCAACTGTTAAGGCTCAATGTCCAGCAAGTTGCAGGAAGCTTTACATTATGCAACTCAAGGAAAATTTAGTTTTATCTAAGTGTCATGCAACTACAGTGGTGCTTGAGAGTTTGTGAAGCCTTTAGAATTTTCTATATCACTGCATAATTTTGACCTAAAACTTCATCAGATGTTCATATAAGTTCTAATAGTAGCTAAAGAGAACCAAATTAAACAAATAAGACAAAAATCTTAGACTTAGTCATTTATTTATTGAGGAAAATGATCCAATATTACATACATGTGAGTGGCAAAAGTATATGAACCTTTCAGTATCTGGCTTGACCCCCTTGTGCAGCAATAACTGCAACTAACCGCTTCCGGTGACTGTTTAGTCCTGCACATCAGCTTGGTGGAATTTTAGCCCTTCATACAAAACAGCTTCAACTCTGTTATGTTGGTGGGTTTTCCTTCATGAGCTGCTTGCTTTAGGTTCTTCCATGACATTAAAGTCAGGACTTTGACTTGGCCATTCCAAAACATTAGCTTTATCCTTCTTTATCCATTTTTTGGTAGACCGACTTATGTGCTTAGGGTCGTTGTCTTGCTGCATGATCCACGTTCTCTTGAGTTTCAGCTCACAGACAGATGTCCTGACATTTTCCTTCAGAATTTGCTGGTATAATCCAGAATTCATTGTTCCGTCAGTGATGGCCAGCTGTCCTGGCCCAGATGCAACAAAACAAGCCCAAACCATGATACTACCACCACCGTGTTTCACAGACAGGATAAGGTTTTTGTGCTGGAATGCAGTGTACAATGGTGCGCATGGCAGGGTTGCGAGGAGAAGCTGCTGCTCTCAAAGAACATTGCTGCCCATCTGCAGTTTGGAGATCACATGGACGAGCCAGAAGTCTATGGGAACAATGTTTTGTGGACGGATGAGACCAAAATAGATCTTTTTGGTTTCAATGAGAAGCATTTAAACATTACGCTTCTCATTTAAACCAAAAAGATCTATTTTGGTCTCATCTGTCCACAAAACGTTGTTCCCATAGACTTCTGGCTTGTCCATGTGATCTTAACCAAACTGCAGATGGGCAGCAATGTTCAGCAATGCGCACCATTGTCGTTCAGTGTTCTCCTGATGGTGGACTCAAGAACATTAACAGTAGCCACTGTGAGGTCTTTAGTTGCTTAGAAGTTACCCATGGTCCCTTTGTGACCTCACAGACTGTTACACGCTTTGCTCTTGGTGTGATCTTTGTTGGTTGACCACTCCTGAGAAGTGTAACAGGGTCTTGAATTTCCTCTATTTGAACGTAGTCTGTTTGACTGTGATTGGTGGAGTCCAAACTCTTTTTACCCTACCCTTTTACAGCCCGATTGAGCATCCACTTTTCTTCTGTTGCCCTCAGAAATCTCCTTTGTTTGTGCCATGATACACGTCCACAAACAAGTGTTGTGAAGATCAGACTGTGATAGATCCCTGTTCCTTAAATAAAACAGGGTGGTCACTCACACCTGATTGCCATCTCATTGATTGAAAACACCTGATTCTAATTTCACCCCAAATTATCTGCTAATCCTGAAGGTTCCCATACATTTGCCACTCACAGATCTGTAATATTGGATCATTTTTTCAAAAAATAAATGTCCACGTCTAATATTTTTGCCTCATTTGTTTAATTTGGTTCTCTTTATCTACTTTTAAGACTGGTGTGAATATCTTGTGAAGTTTTAGGTTAAATTTATGCAGAAATATAGAAAATTCTAAAGGGTTCACAAACTCTCAAGCACCACTGTAAACTCACACAAATGTTTCTCCAGCCAGCCTAATCCTGCACCTGCTGACCCACAGTACTCCACGGTTTGACACAACACACCTGATCCAGCTCATCAGCAGCTTATTCAGCTTGTCATAAACTGAATCAAGTATTTTAATGTGTTTTAACATGTAATTTTAATATAGTTAGGTTAAACAGTATTCTGTACTGCCTTTACTTCCCTCTTCAAGATACTTCATTGGAAGGGTCTAGTCTTTAAACCAGAAACTCTTTCTCTAAAGACCACTGCACTGCTCTAGGAGGCAAGTAGGCATGTTTACACCAGATGTAGCCATGTTCATTTCGGCCAGAGTGTGTATAATAAAATCAACTGACCTTTTGTTGACATGTATGTCTTTCAGGAGCTGAAACAGGACATTTCTAGCTTCCGATATGAAGTGCTAGGAATGATGAAAGGACATAAACCAGGGATACAGGGTCCCCAAAAAAGCACAGGGGCCTCAAACCTGGCCTATCCTGACCGCCCTCTCAAGGGCTCTGCAGCTCCCTCTGGAGGACAAATGAAAAGCAAGCTTAAACTTCTCAGCGTCACCACTTCTATTCTCCAGCAAAATTCAAAAGCTAGTGCTAAAGGCACGGAACACTCTCTGGCTAATGGCTCAATCCCCCAATCTTCGGAAATGACGTCTTCTGACAAGACAAAGAGAGACTTCTCTGGACTGTACCACCAAATACGCCATAGAGGGACAAACAGTCCTGGCAGGATCTTCTCGGTGTGTGAGGAAGTTGATGAGTCTGACACAGAGCAACTGGTGGAGGATAATGAGAACAACAAGCCATCCGAGACGCTGACCATGGTCAGTCAAAGTGTTGTGCTCGGAGATGGCGGGAATGAGGTACAGGACGTGCGGGGGCAAGAAAGTGAGAGATTTGCACAAATACCATGCATATGTGAGGCAACTGCAAATGACAAGGATAGTGAAAACGATGAGGAAACGATAAGCAGATTATAGTAGCATATGACCGCTATGTGAGTGACAATCAGGCATGGGTTAAGGCCAAAACTGCTGTGGCTTCTTCGGGAATTGACTGAGCTGAGCAGTTAGAGACTTCTGTGAGACTAGAGAAGTCTGCAGAAAGGTTGATCAAGACCATAAACGGTAAATCACAAACTCGTTGACCCTCAACGGTATCCAGATACAGCTTGCAAGAATGACCAGTGTAGAGCATGGACATGGCTTTGACTGTCCTTCTGAAGAATTCTGTGGAGGAGACTCAGGGATGACTGTTACTTTGGGAGACTTGTACGGCCTAGTATGGTCTCCGCAGTAGCGGTAGGCCACAGAGTGAGGATAGGACTCTTTATGTTGCCAGTAAATTCGGTCCATTGCTAGCTTCAGACAGCCATCCTAAAACTCATGAGATTTCACTTTGTGACTTTGTGTGGCTCTAGGTTTTAGGTTTCAGCCTGGCATCCCCAACTCAGTAAACAAAAATCCACAAATACATGATATACCAAGCCGGTGGTTGGCCATCTGAGCCGTGTGGGCCATCAGAGCGCCGGTGGCTGACCGTTGCGCATAGTTTGTGCAGCGTGTCCTGCATAATTGAATCTAGTCTGCTTTTTCAATGGCAGCACAAGCACCAAAGTTATATCACCACTAATTGGCTTTTTATCTATTTTTGCTTTCAATGTCCAACTTTTAACCATTGTGTGGTGTTCCGGTCTGTGGGACTCATTTTCAGTGTTTACCAAAAGAAAGAATTATGCGATTTATTATTATTTCAACCTCAGATTCTTGGCCTTTGCTCATTTTCTGTGAAGAACATAAAAAATAACCCATTTTCAGTGTCTTCACTCTGTTCACCCCCCACACATTTATATTACACGTGGTGTTGCGGTGAATCTGCAGGGAGTAAAAGTGTGGAGGTGCTGTGTCCTTCACTCTGTTCTTCTCCTACATGGCCTGCTGTTAGTGTGTGTTTGTGTGTGTGTGTGTGTGTGAGGGTGGACAACATGGACAGGCTGCTGACTGGCTACAGCTGCTAAAGGAGAACCCTACGCTGGACACTTGTGATATTTTAAACATCTGGTATTTTTACATAAATTGTTATGGCTGTAATTAAATAATTAAAAAACAATAATGTGGTGGGTCCACCAGACCACTGAGTAACAAACACATCAACACCACACAAGGGTTAAACAAATAGTTTTTGAATATCGCATACCAAATGAGAAAATATTTAAAATTGTTATGAATAATCACTGTCACACAGAAGATGTAAGTGCTTTAATAACACAGCAACATCAAATAAATACATTTTTACTTTTGCTATTTTTATTTTCACACATCCGGTTTAGCTAAAACATGGGTATTTGAAGCTTGTAAGACATTCAAACAACACATTTTTGACTTTGTATGTTGCAGTCTGACAGTTTTATATTTATTGTCTTTGCGGTGCGGTCAAGTGCAAAGAGGCAGTGCTGAGCTGAAGGACGGCTATACTCAGTCAAGCTCCTTTCCCTCAGTCAGTAAACTAAACCAGCAGTATACTTGAGATAACAATGACATTTCAAAGCAAAAAAGAGGTAATTTTGGCAAAAACAGTGCTATGATTTAGGTTTGTATGGTGCAGTGCGCGCCGCTTGTTGAACTGAGCTCCTTAAACTGTGGTGTTTGTTCTGAGACCTCCCCTCCTGACTGTGATTGATCCTAATCACCGTGTCTTTTGTTCTGAGATGTTCTTCTGTCTGTGATTGGCACACTGCACAAAGCGGGCTTCTAACAGTGCCAAGATATGCAGCAAGTTCTTTTTATCTATATTTATGACAACGTGTATTGTGGCAGTCCGGTTTTGTTTAGTTCTTTCGTCATTTTAAGTATACTACCAGTGGTTTAAAGCATTCTATTGGTCCCAATCACTGTGTCAGTTGTCCTGAGACCTCCACTTGACTGTGATTGGTCCTAATCACTGTGTCAGTTGTCCTGAGACCTCCACTTGACTGTGATTGGTCCTAATCACAACATCATTTGTTCTTAGACCTCCCCCTGACTGCAGCTGGCTCTAATTGGCGTTGCTTTTTCTGAGACCGCCCCCGATTGTGATTGGTCCAGTGCAAGTTTTCAAAGTTCTATTTAACACTTAATTTATAATGTAATTATATAGTGTATATATATATATATATATATATATATATATATATTATGACAATGTGTTTGGCAACAGGTTTGTTCAGTTTCGTTACCTATGGCGGTTTAAAGTATGCTGGCTAGATTTGATTTGATGATCAAATTTGTGATTCAATACTGATTTTTTAAACAAATTTTGAAACAATTAAAGAATCACCGTCTTTAGGTCATGGCACAACCTTCTAATGAGACTAGAACTGGGAGGCAGCAGGCCTGGAGCTGACACTGGCTGGCACTGAACATGCCATTGTAGGTTAAGTCAGGAGTATGAGAAGAGATTGTGGGACTATAATAGGGAGGAGAGCTCTGCACATCGTCTGCTTCTGCTACAGTCCTTTCAGAGGAATTTCATTATATACATATATTGGCCCAGTCTATTGAAATGACAGGCATGCCAGACTGAAACCATAGAGTGAAACAATATTTATATTCATGAGCTTTAGAATGCTTGAGTGAGGCTAGCCCATCATCCTGAAGTTTACTCACATATGAAAGAGCAATAGCTGAGCCTCCTCATGTTAAAGGGAACCCTGACTGTTAAGATATGTAAGCCTCATTATGGCTACTAATTCTAATATACTGTATTTCCAACCTTTCCGACTTTGGCTATAATATTATCCAGGAGATTGTCTTATTTTCCATACGACTGAGTCCAGTACAACCATAAGACATCACCACAGGGCAACAATGGAGGCCTACTTGTCATATTTGTCATGCTACTTGTCATATTTTTTAAAAATACTATACAAAACATTTCTATACATTGTATATGAGTAGTATTGGACATTATTTTAAGTCATGCAAGTCTTAAAAGTCAGGGTTCCCTTCAAAGAAATTGCACTCTGCCTTACTGTGTTTGATTCATCAACTGATGCTAACTGTCATTAGCTGAGGGATTTCATATCATATCATATCATACAGCCTACTATACCTGTGTTATTCTTACTATGCAAATATTTATAGCTTGTACCTTATAGAGAGTGACGCATGATGCAGCTCTCTTTTCACTTGCTTTGAACAGGTGGTGTATGAGTTCATTATCTCGACCCATTAATCCATATCCACTGTTCCCCTCCCCTAAAATAAACTGAGTGAGTAGCCTGTAAGCACAAGGATGTGGGGACTAATCTTAACCCAGGAAATATTTAGTGATTTACATATGTATTCAGCAGTTATACTATAATATTGATTATTACATTCACAATAATAATGCTGAATAATATATTTGCAGTATGTATCCCTACTCCAATATCATGTTACCCTTGTATCACTATTATATTGAGCTGGTAAGTTCACTATTATGTAATATTCTGCATTATCACCATTTATCATTGTACAATTGTAATGCATCTCATTTCCATAACCACATGTTTACAGATTGGTACTTTTCAGATTGACTTACCTTTAAAGTAGACTTCATCATGAGGTGAGCATATCAATCTGTAGAAACAAACAAGTCAGCCCATGTTTGTTTGAAGGGCCAGTGCATTATTCTAAAGATACAACTAAATAAAAAATTCTGAAGACATATGTATTATTATTATTTTTTAATGGGCCATATGAGTTTAACCTGGATTTTGGGGCTATTTTTTTTTGTTTTTTTTATTAAAGATTTGCAGGTCACAGGTTGGCAGCATGTTGCATCCAGCAAAATTCAAAAAGGCAAAGAGAGAGATCTAAGACGAACATCGATAATCTGGAGACAAATGGACTTAATTGCATTTATAATCACTCCAGCTGGTTTCCTGATATGTTTGATCTGCAGCAAGAAACTGTCAAACACTAAAAAGCCACAAAGCTGATGTCGCTTCTCATTCGGCAGCTTCTTATTAGAATTGTCCCGTTCCACCTTAAATTGTGCAGCAGTTACATCCTGCTGCCTCTGGCACCATTTAAGGTGGAACGGGAAACTTTAAACAAGAAGCTGGTGAATGAGAAGTGACTTCAGCCTCGTAAACAGTCGAACGTTGAGAGACGTTCTACAAGAACTGTTCTACTTTTAAAGAAAGATTTCCTGCTGGAGATGCGAGAAAAGCTGAGCTAAAGCTTAAAGCAGAGCGGAGTCTGTCTGCATTTTCTTTATTATTATATTTTTAGCCTGTACTAGCACATCAGCACATACTGAGACATATTTATAGCCAAGATGGTAAAATGGGCATAAAATGTTGTGTTTGATTTTTGTTGAAAAGACAAAATGGCTCTTCTTAACATTTGGGCTGTGACCCCTGGTGTAGGTGAACAGTGGTGTTCTATGTTATAGTCAGAGTAATTGTGCATTGTTACTATACTTAAGTATTATTTTGGTAGATTTGTACTTGAGTATTATTGAACTGAAAACTTCCAAAAAACATGAAATTTTAACTCCTTACATGTAAACGTACAAATTATTCATCACAGATCTCAAAGTCTGGGGTACTTTTCTCAAGTCAAGTTCACACACATTTTATTGTTATGCTTATTTTTATGAAAACATCCAAACTTTATATAAATGTACATACATACATACATACATACATACATCATCTAAACCGCTTATCCTTCTGGGTCGCGGTAAATGTAATTTATGTAAATGTAAAGTCAAGCAGCGTCCATCAGCAGCTGCACCACATACCAAAAAAGAAAAAAAAAGAAAACTTATGATTTTATCTGTAAAAGCATTTCTGTTTTACTTTTATATACTTGAGTATGTTTAAATGTAGATACTTTTTAACCTTTATTTCAGTATAATTTTAAATTTATACTTCTACTGTTAATTGAGTAAGGCTTTGTCGCAGTACCCATATTTTCACTTAAGTACAGTTTCTCTGTGCTTTCATATGGCATGTTTACTAAAGGAATAACAGCAAAGACAATGTCGTAAAGTAACACAGATCAGAGAATTTTTCTGAGCGCTTTTTGGCACGGCGACATTTTGCATTTATTTGTTTTATTTCAGTTGTTCGGAAAAACTTCTGTGGAAAAGTCAGAAAAGTTAGTTGATTCATGAAAATTACAGAGAAGCATCAAAGACTATATATAATATAATGTTTTGTCTTTCTTACAGCTTTCATTCTTTTCAGGAGAATTGCTCTCAGTTTTTCAAAGAAATCGGCAGGGATATATTTTTTACACCTCCAAAGTTCAGTCTTAGAAGATGGTTGCATTTTCTGCATCTCCTGATGCAAGTGATCCCAAACCCACATTGGAAGAATGGACAGAAACACCGATCAGAGCTTCATTTTCATTAGAGCTTTGATTTTCTTCAAAGATGATCTCTCAAATGATCTCTCAATGGGAGTCCCACTTTCTCTGTATCTTTTAATCATTTTTTGAATTCCAGATTTCGTTTGACTTTCCCTTCCTTTTACAAATGGGTAAGTATCTCCTAAAAATTAATAACTTTTTAAACAACCAAAAGGTTTTAAGTATAAATGAATGGTCTTTGACTTTTGCACAGCACTGTAAATTACCAGATGACACAGCCATCCACAACAGCAGTAAAGCTGATGAAACACACATCATGGTTTAATGATAAAGTACATTATGAACATATGGTCTCACACATACATACACCACTTGCTGTCATTGTGGAAAAGCAACAATATCAGTCATTGTAATAACACT